GTCAGGAAGAGATGAGAAACTCACCATGGTTGCCGACATGGTGATGTTGACACTCACCGGAAAATTGTCAGCGCCAGGATCTGTGCTTTTAGCTCTCTTCATTTTCTTCACGATTTCATTTTTAGGCAGGACCCCCCAGTCCAGGCTGTCTCGCTGCAGATGTTCAAGTCTGCCCTCTTCTTGGAAATCTAGTTACAAAACAGCTTTGGGTATCATCAAGGATCGATGCCTATCACCGCTTTCAAGGCAGTGGAGCACAATCTGAGATCCCTAGGACCATGCGTGCACCCCAAAAGTTTAGGGGAGCAATTGGGTGTCTCCAAAAGTTTTCACTCTCAGCAGTTTTTAATGTGAGAGATCAGGGGTGTTGGGGTGGGTGTGTTGATCCTCCCCTTTGTGGATGTCCCTGTGTTACTCCTTAAGGAAAAATCATAGAGATTTAGGCAATAATATTTTAAGAGCCCTTACAGTTACACAGGACACCCCCCTCCCCTTTTGGGTACAAAAGAATAGTGCCCCCACCCTCCAGAAATCACCTACAGCGAGGTGTATGTGTGTTGGGGGGGCAAAGAAGAGTGGGTAGCATTTTTTGAAGGCAGGTGAAACTGCTACTGCAACCAGAAAAAGATGAAAAAAGCAGAAATGAGCAATTCTTCTCTGCACTCACAGTAAAGCAGAAGGCAGTTAACTTCCTACTTACTTGTTGAGCAATCAGTGAGTTCCTCGTTCCTGAAAAATAGCAAAGCGGTGTTTAATGGGAGGATGCGTTTGGAATAAATGTGAATGGGAAGCTGGTCACATAGACTGCCAACTTTTTAAAATTGGCTCTGCTCCCCTTAGCTTGAAGAACGGGGAACAGAGAGTTCGTTCCGTGGGAATGGCGTGAGATAAGAGAAATTTGGCTTAAGTGCTCCGTATAAGGCTGAAGCCAAGCTGGAATGATGGCAAAAGACAGAAACACTCTGAAAAGAGGTATCCCTTCCTCCCAATCTTCATCTGAGGGCCAAATTTTGAGGACCAGCTTGTAGTCTAAGTCAGCTCAAAACTGCAATCCACTTGCTGCATGAAGGGGAATGGCACATTCGCTTTTGTTCCCCTGGTACTGTAGATCTTCAAAAGAGCAAGCCAAAAGCTGAAGGCAAACTTCTGCCGTACCTTCTTATCCTCATGGTCTGCTGAAGTGTTCGTGGTTTCCAATACGCCCTGCAGAGGAACGTTGAGAAGAAGCAATTAAGCACACTAAAAGCAACAGAACAGGCGGAAAAAAGAAAGGGTGGTAAATTTGACTGGCATAACATGGCTCAGCCTTTTTCTTCTTCT